AAGCTTCCGAAGAGCTTATGTTTGGTTACTTGAAGTAACTAAATTATGTACTCGTGATAACAATTTGTGATGATATTCACTATGAATTTGTGTTTACTAAGAATGCATCAAATCATAAGTCCCTGGAAGGGTGGAATATGGTACAAAATATGATAAAGTTTTAAAGGGAGCTAATTTTGTGGCCTGAAAGAACCGAACTACCTAGTGATGATGCATTCCCAATTAAAAGGATATTCGTAAAATTAATATCTTATCAAGAAAATAGTGAAACTAATATTTGCATCACAAATATGTACTACATGTATATTAGTACAATCGGTACACATAAAAGTGTAAACCAGAAGTTTACAAGATTTGATAACTTGATAATTGGTTGGACCGGTTAGACCATCCCGGATCTTGATGTGAAAAAAAGTTCTTTGAGAATTCATGAGAACATCATATGAGAAGTCAAAGAACTCTTCAAATAAAAGAGTTATTATGTCATGTTTGTTCTCAAGGAGAATAGAACAATTGATCATCGCTTGTATAAGAGTTGACAAATCTCTTGAGATTTTATGGACGTGTATGCAGAACAATACATCAGTCATGTGGATCATTTGTGAATTTTATGGGTTGCTGCATCAAATGTATTTTATCTAATCACAACCCGATGTTTGCGAGATTGATTGTCTCACTATGGATACATTTTGATGGTTATCCAATCAAACATCACTTTGCTTAAGAGAACAAACTGAGCCTTCTGGTCTCTTGTCGAGGACATGCTAGCTGACAAGTGATAGTATTGGTTCACATCTAACCAACAAGTTATCATAAGTTCCCCCCTTTTACAAATGGTTTTGGTCAGAAACCTAACTTTTCTCATATGAGAATATAAGGGTGTGCCGCATACATCCTAATTGCTCCACCACAGTACCTTAAGTTGATTCTCGTTGGAAATTGAGAATTTGTGTTGGGTATGAATCCCGAATGGGAAATTTGTTTGCGAAATTATTATTTTGATGGATTACTTTTCCATCATTAAGGGGGAGAGGAAAAAAAACTAGGCAAAGAGATGAGTTGGAATGAGTTACCATTGTCTAGTTTTGATCCTCAAATTAAGAAACATGAACCTGAAGTTCATAAGATGAATTATCATTACCAACTATCAAATGCCTTTACTGGCCATACGAAGTGACCAAGTCACATATACTAGCTGTGAATGCTCCAACTAAATTTGATATCCTTGTTGGATACTCTAATATAAAAAAATGTGTATGAAAGAGCGCATGAAGCGTGATAGACCAATCGGTTCCAATGATAAACATCCTCGAGAAAGAAAAGGAGTTGTAATTAGAATGGTCAACTCGAGGACATGAAAACTCAAGAAGAGTAACCAAGAATAAAATATAATTTAGTTCCAGAAGAACACATGTCTCTGAAAGTTGTGTAAGCGAAGAGATCTCAAAACCATATTAGACTACAATACTGGAACCGTAATGAAATCATTGTCGATGAAATTTGTTTGTTGTACTTCAGTACTGAATATGATATGTACAAGTGAGGATCAAGAGTAAAACTCTATTGATGCATGCAAATGAGTTGGAATGAGTTACCATTGTCTAGTTTTGATCCTCAAATTAAGAAACATGAACCTGAAGTTCATAAGATGAATTATCATTACCAACTATCAAATGCCTTTACTGGCCATACGAAGTGACCAAGTCACATATACTAGCTGTGAATGCTCCAACTAAATTTGATATCCTTGTTGGATACTCTAATATAAAAAAATGTGTATGAAAGAGCGCATGAAGCGTGATAGACCAATCGGTTCCAATGATAAACATCCTCGAGAAAGAAAAGGAGTTGTAATTAGAATGGTCAACTCGAGGACATGAAAACTCAAGAAGAGTAACCAAGAATAAAATATAATTTAGTTCCAGAAGAACACATGTCTCTGAAAGTTGTGTAAGCGAAGAGATCTCAAAACCATATTAGACTACAATACTGGAACCGTAATGAAATCATTGTCGATGAAATTTGTTTGTTGTACTTCAGTACTGAATATGATATGTACAAGTGAGGATCAAGAGTAAAACTCTATTGATGCATGCAAATGATGATGTTATTGGCCAATATAGAAAGAAATCATGAAACTTGCTTAAGGAGCATAAAGTTTAAGGACCAGAAGTCCTTGCACCTAAAAAAGGGCAAAACTAGCGGGATACAAACAAATTTTTGTGCTATTGGAAAGTATGAAATTGTGAGAGATATCACATAATGTTTTGCAATGGGTTTCTCGAAGAGACCTATCATTGTTTAAGAGGAGTTATACTCCCCTGTGGTGGATGCAACTACGTTTTCAAATCAATGTTTGAAAATTGGTGTGATAGCCTATTTGTTTGAATTCCCTGAAGATGTTATATATATATTTGAAACTCCCAGAAGGATTAATTTACCTGAAGTAAACACGTAAATTTCTCGAGAACATATAATGAATATCCCCAGTATGGGTTGAGAAAATATATACGAATGTGAAATACTCGTCTAAGTGAACACCTACAACAGTAGGGTGAATGGACCTTAAAAGGTTAAATCCGGATAGAGTCATTAGAGCATTTGTATTGTGCATATATAGTTGTGTTGTCTGTATGTGCTTCAAGGATTTTAAATTCTTGATTTATGAGTTGTGATTTACTTTAAAGTATGAGTTGTGTTTTATGGTTGTGCTTTGTCTAGTTCATATGTTTCTATGATGTGAGTTTTGTTAATATCTTTCGTGTGAAAGAATTGCTTGCTTCAATTTGTTTTAGTCAAGTTTTTTTGTGACGATCTCATATTATGTTGATAATATGTCTATTATTGGAGCTCCTGAAGAGCTTCCTAAAGCAGTTGATTGCTTAGAGACATAAGTTAAATTGAAGGATTTAAGATCCTTTTTATGGGCAAGGAAGGTAATGTTGAAAAAGTGGAAAAGTAATTTTGCGTGAACAAATTATGTTCATCAAATAACATTAGGATCCTAAGATCACTAGAAGTGACCAAAGATCCATTTAGGCATCGAGAAAGAAGTGAAACATTAGGTCCTGAAGTACTTTATGTTGATGTACTAGGTCCTGAAGTACCATATATTGATGCATCAGAGCACCAATGCATCTTGCTAGCCAAGCACCATGTAAACTATCATTTTGGTGTTGATAATATTAGTAAAATACAATGTTTTCCTCAATGGAACGTTGGAAATACTTTGTTACCTTCAGGAACAATATATGCAATTGTTCTATTATGGTACTGTCAAAGAGAGATTTGGTGAACTATATATCCAAATCCTATATATTATTTGATCCTCATATTGGTTGATCAGAGATGAGCTATCTCTTACATATGGTGATGTGATTGTTTCATAGATATCCAAAACAAACTATAGTAGGCAAGTCCTGAATGTATTTCGTTACACTTTGTGATTCACCATATCTAAAGGACTTGTAGTTGTAAAGGAAATGATCCTGACGATCATGGATAAAGAAAATCTAAAGATCATGCATAAGATTGACAATCTAGAAGATTGTTCACTAACTAACTCCCGGCAACAATCTTTCTAAAAGTTGTTTGTGAAATTTGAGTTCAACGACTCAAAGATTTTAAATGATGTGGTCATGAGGGGGAGCATATACGCACTGCACTCTTTTTCCCTTCACCATGGGTTTTCCCACTGGGTTTTCCTGGTAAGGTTTTTAACGAGGCAGTATGAGATAGCGTAATGCAATCTAGTGGTCATCCAAGGGGGAGTATTATGTAAATATTGATATATGGATGACCATTGCTATTACCACATTAGATGCTCACTTGGGAGTTACATGTAACCCATATTCCTACATTTGATAGCTCCTTTATATTTCTTTATCTCTCATTATTATAAGGATGTAGTGGTTACAAAAGTGTGCCTATAAATAGAGCACATCACTTGTATCAAAAGTGAGAATGAATAAAAAGAACTCTTCCCCTCTCTTCTCTTGTGTCTTTCCTTCTCTAATCTTCTCTTGTAGTTGTTTATATTTTCATTAGTTTCATAACAGCGTGGATTTTTTTCCCCTTCTTCTTACGTGGCCCAAAGTCAATGATGATGTGGCCCAGTTCATGTTAGTTAAATGGATGGAAAATTGGATAGATGCCCAATTTATTGAGTTTTATGGTATACGATGTCTAATTTTCACTTTAACGGTACTCTCCCTCTAATTATCAAAGTTTAATCCTTTCAAGGAAAAAAAAAATTATCAAAGTTTAATGGTATTTAAAATATTTTACCCTACAAATTAATTGCTATTAAAAACTCGTAGAATACTACCCTACACAAAATTTAGAACTTATATATTACTTTGCAAGAATACAACATCTCGATCCGCATCAACCTTTCCTCTTGCCAATCATTCTGCAGCCTGCACAAATGGAATCCTGCCCCAACCTACGTGGACGAATCCGCCACCATTTAAGTATAGATATGTTTTTTTTTTTTTGGGCACTCATGTATAGACCTATTAGTCGGCTTAAACAACAACAGCCAAAAGAAAGAAGAAAAAAAAAAAAAAACAAGGAACTTTGGTGGACAAGTGGAGCCTCTGCTATAAATGGCGGGGGCACAAAACGGTGGTCCACATTGTAGTTTGACAATTGACCGGGCGGGCGGCTGGTTTTGCCTATTGGTAACCTGTTGAGGCAGGGCCGGCAGGTTGCTTATATATAAGCCGCAACCTTTCTCTCTAGTAGTAGTCTTCACCAAGGAAGGAAGGAAGACAGGATCGTTAGAAAAATGCCACTCAGTCCTGCTCGTTTCACCACTCTCAACATACTCTCCCGCCCCGCCGTCAATCATGCCTCCGCCGCCGGTAAATCTCTTCCGACAAATTCAATTTTCTCTGAATCACGTCGAGTTATTGGGACCAACTGGTTTATGACAATCACCATCAGGTGATCCCGCGACGAGGGGAAGAAACTCACGCCCCAATCTCCCGGAGGTGCAGCGAGAGATGATTAGGTGGAAGGAGGAAGGGCGAGTGGGGAAGATGAAGGAGGTGCTGCGGAAGGAAGTAGTGGAGCTGTCGGTTTCGCCCTACGACACCGCCTGGGTCGCCATGGTGGGCCTGGGCCGCGACCAGCAGCCTCGTTTCCCGCAATGCCTGAGATGGGTGGCGGAGAACCAGCAGGCGGACGGGTCGTGGGCTTCGCATCCCGCTGGAGCTGATCCGCTCCTGGTGAAGGACTCTCTCTCCTCCACGCTCGCCTCCGTCCTCGCTCTTCGCAGCTGGGGCGTCGCCGACGAACTCGTCCACCGAGGTGTGCATATTAGTTTATTACGCTGGCTCGCTCGCTCGTTTGATTTTTTAAATTATTATAACGACGCCAACTATACATTCCACATATTATTCGTTTCATGCAATTTGGTTTACTACGATTTCCGGCCTCTTACCGCTTTAACTGCTATTTGTTTTGGTTTTTAATAATTTCCAGGGAATATTTATCACATAATATCAGTGCGCTCACTTTTTTTATGTGCATTGAATGTAACTTTTAAAAGTAGTTTTAAGATATCGAATGCGAATTTCAATTGGTAGAATTAGTCTGATACGACTATATAACATAGGAAGTTAGGAACACAATTAATCAATTAATTATCGTAACTCCTGAACTTTAAATTTTGAACAGTAATCATGAATCCCAAATAATAACCACAAACCCTAACCCTAAATCCATAATCTCTAAACCCTTCAAATCAAAGTAAATCTTGAATTATATATGTATAAATTCATGCGTTTTCTTGTCCGTCATATATAAGTAACGATAGAAATTGTTTTACCAGGAATCGCCTGCTTAGAATCACGATTATGAGACGAGTGCATTGAATCACGATTAAAGTACTATAATAATTATTATACGTCATTAGCTATGTTGTAGTAGGTGCACGCATCATGTACTAAAATGGAGTTAATTCATTGTGGTTAAGTTAAATAGTACTTCTGGACCGCAAATTCACGTTCTTAATTACCCAAAAAACCCAATAATATTACATTATATGATAAATTGCAGGGTTGGACTTCATAAGATGTAACGCTTGGGCAGCCACGGACAAGAAGCAGCGCACCCCGATTGGGTACGACATCATATTCCCAGGGATGATGGAATCTGCCGCCGCGTTGGGCCTCAACCTCCCATTCCACCCTTCTGCCTTCCAGGCAATGCTTCAAAACCGAGACCTACTTCTTCAAAGGTAAAAACCCTCTATTATCTGATGCAAAACACTTATAGTAATTAGTTATATATATATTTTCAACCAGTAATTACATGATTAATTTTCTAAATCGATGGTTGATTGATTGGGAAATAAATAAATAAAAGCAGCGAGTGGGCGTCCGGGAAGAGAGCCGATGTGGCATTTGCGGCAGAGGGATTGGCGACCACGACCAGATTCAACGGCGGCGGCGGCCAATGGCAGGAAGTGCTGCGGGAGCACCAAAGAAAGAACGGCTCTTTGTTTAATTCACCTTCCGCAACAGCTGCGGCTCTTCTCCATCTCCACGATGATCACAATTCCTTGGCCTATTTGGACTCCGTCCTCTCCGCCTACGACAACTCCCCAGCTGGTAACTTTTAGCAATTGTCTCCTTTTATTTAACGACTCATTCACCTTTTTTTTTTTTTTTACTTAATTAATACCGTTTTACTTTTTCTTTCTTCCTTTTGTTCATGTTTTGTTTTACTCATATGTATTATTCAACTTTGGTGGTTTGCAGTGCCGGCCATTTTCCCACTGGACCTGTTCAGTCGGCTGGACATGGCGGATAACCTCCTTAAACTTGGGATACATCAACATTTCATGCGAGAGATTACGCTCATTCTTGACCACGTATACAAGTAATTAATTTCCCTTTTCGCGCGCCAAAACCAGAATCTAGAATAAGATGAATTAGAAATAAAAGAAAATCACAATAAATTATTAAAATTGAATTTTTGGGGAGCAAGCTATATATATATATATGGTGGCTACTTCGGCGCATACACTTTTTTGAGTGCACTCAGTGCACCCAACTCTAAAAGTGTCCATAATACACCAAATTAGTACTCTCAATCTAATGTGATGATATGACATAGAATCATAACAAATCAATCTATTACCCTAACCCCTTAACCTTCAATTTTGAATCTCAACCCAAAATCCCAAATTGTAAACCTAAACCCTAACCTTAAATCTCTAAATCCTAAATCCTTCGAATTACAGTAAATTTTGACAGATTTTTTTTATCCAAATTAATGTTCTTCTTGTTCATAATATCATAAGCAACGATTGATACCATTTTGACATGAATCGCATGCTCAGAATGACAATTATGAGGCGGGTGCACTTAGTGCACCCAAAAAAGTGGGTGCACCAAATACACCAATATATATATATATACATGGTGCCTTCTACGGTACCCCGGGTGAAATCCGGGGTACCGCATACCTTGAGTATGAAAACGCTATCTAGACCACGAATTAACAGGATTTTGAGCATGATACTATACCCTAACCCTTAATGAGTGAACCCTAGGTCATAATTATCTAAATCGTAAACTATAAACCCTAAGATGGTGCATTGATTTTTTTGCCTATATTTGGACGAATCATAGCCGTCGATTATTGTTTCTAATTAAATTGATCTTGGTATATAAGATTTAGAGAATTAAGACCTAGATTTTGATCTTTAAGGGTTTGAGTATAATATCATGTCCGAAAGATCAGTCAATTCAAGTTATGGATAGTGTTTTCTTACTCAAGGTATGCGGTACCCTAGATTTCACCCGGGGTACCGTAGAACTCCCCATGGTGCCTTCTACGGTACCCCGGGTGAAATTCGGGGTACCGCATACCTTGCGTATGAAAACACTATCTAGACCTCGAATTAGCATGATTTTTGGGCATGATACTATACCCTAACCCTTAATGAGTGAACCGTAGGTCCTAATTATCTAAATCATAAACTATAAATCCTAAGATGGTGCATTACTTTTTTTGCCTATATTTGGACGAATCATAACCGTTGATTATTGTTTCTAATTAAATTGATCTTGGGGTATAAGATTTAGATAATTAAGACCTAGGTTTTGATCTTTATGGGTTAGAGTATAGTATAATGTCCGAAAGATCAATCAATTCAAATTCTAGATAGTGTTTTCTTACTTAAGGTATGCGGTACCCCGAATTTCACCCGGGATACAGTATATATATATATATATATATATATATATATATATATATATATATATATGGGGAGTTCTACGGTACCCAGGGTGAAATCCGGGGTACCGCATACCTTGAGTAAGAAAACAATATTTAGAACTTGAATTGATTGATCTTTCGAACATGATACTATACCCTAACCCTTAAAGATCAAAATCTAGGTCTTAATTCTCTGAATCTTATACCCCAAGATCAATTTAATTAGAAACAATAATCGACGGTTATGATTCGTCTAAATATAGGCAAAAAAATCAATGCACTATCTTAGGGTTTATAGTTTATGATTTAGATAATTAGGACCTAGGATTCACTCATTAAGGGTTAGGGTATAGTATCATGCCCAAAAATTCTGCTAATTCGAGGTCTAGATAGCATTTTCATACTTAAGGTGTGCGGTACCCCGGATTTCACTCGGGGTACCGTAGAAAGAAGCATATATATTTATTTATATGGTGGCGTCTTCGGTGCACTCACTTTTTTGGGTGCATTCAGTGCACTCGCTTCATAACCGTCATTTTAAACATGACATTTATGTCAAAATGATGTCAATCATCACTTATGATGTGATGAACAATAACGAACATGAATTTGCACAAAAACCATTAAAGATTTACTTTAATTTGAAGGATTTAGAGTTTAAGGATCTAGGGTTAGGGTTTATAGTTTGGGGTTTAGGGATAGAACTCAAAATTGGAGGTCTAGAGCTTATGATAATCCGCTAATTAGTTGTTATCATATGTTATATCATCATATTACACTAATTCTACAACTTAATATTCCAAATCCGACTCCTTAACACTAGTTTTTGAGTTGGATGCATTGAACGCGCCAAAGTAGTCACCATATTTATATATTTACTTATTAAAAAAAAACTCCTACGCTGTCACTCCCTATAACTAATATATACCAATATATAAACAATTAGCATTATTTTGATACTACAAATGCACTAACCATTTCTTTTCTCCCTTTTTTTCCTTTTTTGGCATGGATCAGATGTTGGATCCAGAGGGACGAGGAATTGTTCTCCGATATCGGTTGTCTGGCCAAGGGTTTCCGGCTCCTGCGTCTAAATGGATACCATGTCTCCTCCGGTAATATAATTAAGTCACCATATATATTAATTAGGATTAATAGTGAATACCAAATTCCAGGCTGATTAAGATTTGTTAATTAACTAATTAATTCACAAGTGTTCTCCGGTTAAATTTGGATGTGTTCAGAGGTATTCGAAGGACTTGACAGGAAAGAAGATTACTTCAAGAGCGTTCTCACTCAGTACAAAAGCAACGACACAATCTTGGAGCTGTACAAAGCTTCACTCACCACACTTCTCCCAAGCGAACCCATTCTCGACGGGATCAAGGATTGGACGAGCTCTTACCTCCGACAAACCTCATTATCGCACAACGACTCTGACCAGGACCAGAGGTTGGCCCAAGAGGTGAGATTGGTCATTAATTACAACCAAACAATATTGGTAAATTGGTCATTAATTCAATTTCAAATATTGTTGTTGAGTAAACTCATAGAAAAAAACCTCGTACAACCAAATATTCATGTTGCGGGGTATTCATTAAATCAGGTGGAGTATGCATTGAGGTTCCCATATGCAAGTTTGGAACGGATCGAAAATAGGCTGAGCATAGACACAGCTGACGTGGACAACCACGTCAAACTTCTCAAAACCTCGTACAGGTAATTAATTATCTATTATCCACGATGTGGACAACGACGTGAAACTTCTTAAGACATCTGTGGTGAGATTAAGCAAACTAAATTATGAGATGACATCATCGATTAGTGACACACTTATTCACTTTCATTTACCCTACCGCCCATGGAAACAAATCTAATATGGAGAAATATTGACTCACCTATCTTACCATGCATGATTAGTAAAATCAATTAGGGTCGTTGGAAAATATTTGACCTTCAGAACATAGTGTCAATTAATTAAATTTCTGCTCTTTTTTGCAGTCTCTCTAATGCAGGCAATAAAGATTGGCTGGAATTTGCAGTTGATGACTTTAACAAGTGCCAATCTCTGCAACGGAAGGAGCTTGAGGTTCTCGAGAGGTAAATAATCAGTCAAAAATAATTATCTCTACAAATTAAATGCATTTTTATCCATCCAATTCCCATCATGTTGTAAAATTAAGGGTTTCATTCATTATCAATCACGCAGGTGGGTGAAAGAGTACAGAATAGAAGAGCTCAAGTTTGCAAGACAGAAGGTGGCTTATGGCTTTTTCGCGGCGGCCGCCATTCTTTTCTCGCCGGAGCACGCCGAGGCCAGGAGTTCATGGGCCAAGAACACCGTCCTCGTAACACTCGTTGACGATTTGTTTGATGTCGGCGGTTCCGAGGAAGAACTTCTCAACTTGATCGACCTGGTCAAAGCGTACGTATACCAGCTCTCTTTATATATATGGTGACGCCTTCGGTGCACTCATTTTTTTGATGCATTCAGTACACTCACTTCATAACCGTCACTTTAAACATACGATTTATGTCAAAATGATGTCAATCATCACTTATGATGTGATGAACAATAACGCACATGAATTTGCACAAAAACCATTAAAAATTTACTTTAATTTGAAGGATTTAGAGTTTAAAGATTTCGGGTTAGGGTTTACAGTTTGGGGTTTAGGGATAGAACTCAAAATTGGAGGTCTAGGGCTTAGGGTAATCCGCTAATTAGTTGTTATCATATGTTATATCATCATATTACACTAATTCTACAAATTAAAATTCAAAATTGGACACCTTAAAACTAGTTTTTGAATTAGGTGCATTGAACGCACTTTTTTTTTTGTGCACAGAAGATTAATTTTTATACTAAATATATACATTGAGTTATTTTATTAAAGACAATTGATTTAATAATGCATGTAACTAATATTAATTTGTCCCCTCTTTCTTGTAACGACTTTGGCAAACCCAGGTGGCATGGGCACGAGTCGATAGGGTTCTGCTCCGAAAAAGTTGAGATCATTTTCAAGGCGGTTTACGACGCAACCAACGAGTACGTTGCCAAGGCTAGCCTAGTGCAGGGACGATGCGTCAAACATCACTTCATGGACATGGTACGCATGCATATTATGACATGATTCACAACAAATACTCACGCGTGCGTACTAGTAACTCGAGTTGTTTGAGAGAATAATACGTAATAACGTACGTATGCATGCATGGCATGCAGTGGCTTGTTTTGCTGGACTGCATGTGGCAAGAGTACGTTAGGGGAAGAGACAAGATAATTCCGACAATGGAAGAGTACATTGCGTCAGGATACGTAAGCGTTGCATTGGGACCGGTCATCTTGGTGCCAATGTACTTCTTGGGATGCAACCTCTCCGAGGAAGCCATGCGAAGCAAAGAGTACGACGACCTGTTCATGCACGTCAGCGTAATAGCTCGACTCCTCAACGATCTCGCCACCATTGGGGTAATTAACTAAACCAACCATAATTAATCTTACATATATAAGGTCTGAAATGAAATTACTGATATTAATAAACAAATCTAATGATCGCAGCGAGAGATTGCTCAAGGGAAAGAAAACAGCTTGGCGTTGGGGATGATGCAAGGGAGCGGGAAGGTGACGGAGGAAGAGGCAAGACGAGAGATTCAGAGAATGATTGAGAAGCACAGGAAGGAGCTGCTGAGGATGGTGGTGTTGAAGGAAGGAGATGAAGGGAGCGTGGTGCCGAGAGCCGTGAAGGAAGTGTTTTGGCAGACGAGCAAGATCGTGCATATGTTCTACATGTCCAAAGATGGCTTCTCTTCGCCACACGAGATGGTGGCTGCGATTGATTCTGTCATTTACAAGCCCATAGTTCTGCCTCATCAACATCACCACCACCACTATTCGACATGATCGTGATCCGATAAATTAACCCTTACCGCTTGTATGTATGTATGTGTATTATCTAACCAATCCAAGATGTGCTGGCATATGTCCTGAAATTTCTCCCTTAACTGTTATTTTATGTAACCCAAAAAGACCCTTATTGTAAAAGAATCAACCATGTGTGTAGAGCTGGCTATTTGGTTCGGGTTTTTCTGTTTAATCCGAACCCGGAACGTAAAAACTCAGACTATTTGAGATCGGGACCGAATGTAAAACAATTCAATTATGTATTTGGTCCCAGAATTAGTAAAAAACCCGGATCAATCTAGTCCGAGTTAAAACCATGTTAAAATTGGAAACCGGATAACTCAAAACTGACCCAGACAGACAAAGTCCGTCCAGACCTAGAGGCAAAGCGTACCAGGCCTAGGCGAGTCCACTGCCACTCGGCCACTTCCCCCAGTGGCCCAGGCAAGCGTGTCACTCTGTACTCTCCCTCTCCATTCCATCCCATCGCGCGATGCCTCCAACTCCAATCAACTTCCTTCGAATCGCCTCCGACCGGCGACCCACCTCCTCTCGGCGACGTGACCTAGCTTCTCATCGTCGATCGCCCTCTGCTCCATCATACTCTTACAACACAGGTCGCTCCCAGTCCCATCTCTGCTCCGCGATGCACCTGACCATAGCCAGCATCTCGTCGGCCGTCACCCTTCTCTCCGATCCACTTCCATGTCGCTCCCACATCCACTCCCACCCTCCTCTGCTCCGCGACGCGACAGGACCCAACATCTCGTCACCCTCCGCTTGTCGACCAGCAAGCAATAACCGCTGAACCCAAAAAGATGGAGGGAAGCAACAGAGTCAAAACAGGATTGGGAGCGGACCGGGTCAAAACCGAATTGTACCCAATCCAATCTTTGGTCCCTATATTTCCAATAAACCGGACTGGGACCGGGTCAATTTGGGCCAGTTTAACCGGACTAGACCGGATAGCCACCACCTACATCAGATCATATTTGTCCTCAATTTAACACCGCCATCAAACCCCCCCCCCTACCCCCAAATAAATGACTACATATATGATCTACCTCTTTGATGACACATATTTTGGCAACAAGGACACCGACATCCAAAACTGAGTTAAGCTATACAAAACAATGCAAACAAGTTCAATATGCCCTGAATAAGATAGTGCTTGTTCCTGTCAGCTTCTAACTCTTGCAACTAGCTTATCAGTAAGAGGCTTACATGATGCCATACTAAGTTTTTAAGAACTAAGAGCAACTCCTGAGTATCTAACAGTAAACCCCCCCCCCCCCCCCCCCAACTGGTAACTATATCTGGCAGCTCGAATGTTTCTCTCTTCCTGATCTAAACCACCAAAGCAAATTTCACATTTGCTAGAATTTCACTTAAACCCAAAAATCTTTTTCAATTGAGCTACTACTCTCTGAAGTTCTTGAATGCCAAACATTGAAGCATCAGAAAAGACTAACAGATCATCACCTTAGCACAAAGAGTTGATTGAACCTTCTTACACATTGGATGATAAGGAAAAATTCCAGCAGAAGCAGATTTATCTATCAGACTTGTGAAAATCTCTGTGGCAATAGAAAACAGATAGGGAGAGAGAGGATCCCCTTGTCTGAAACCTTTCCTTGCTTGAAAATATCCAACCAGTCCCCCATTAAAGCAAAAACTAAACATTGAAGTTCCAAACACATTTTAATCCAGTTAACAAATCTATCCGAAAACCTCATACCCTTAAGAACTTGAAAAATAAAGTTACAGTAAACCGAATCAAAAGCTTTCATAAAGCTAATCTTGAGGGCACATCTAGGAGAGATATTTTGATGGGAGTATTTATTGACTAGCTCATGTGCTAATAAAATGTTCTCACCAATGAGTCTTCCTTTTACAAAAGCCGTCTGGTTCTTACTGATTAGGGAAGGAAGAAGAGGACTAAGTCTGTTTGCTATGAGCTTGGATATGCATTTGTATAAGATATTACAACAAGATATGGGTCAAATTTTTTTTCATTTCATCAGGATTAGGGACTTTTGGGATAAGGGTAAGAATAACAGATGTTACCTCAAGGCCAATAAGTGGCCTACGGACTCTATCATGCTCGAAACAAAATTGAATAGAATATGTTACCTCAAGGCCAATGAGTGGCCAAACATATTGGAAGAAAGCAGCAAAAAAGCCATCCAGGCCTGGACTTTTGCCTCTACCCACAAAGAGAACTTCCTTGATCTAATAGTCCGTGAATGGATCACAGAGTCCCTCAGTTTCCTCCTCAGTAAGTTTCCTTTTTAAATGGCCATCGTAGAATTCATCAGTTTGTGCTTCTACTTCAGAATCAGCAACTCCCAACAGCTTCTCATAGAAACGAACAGCAATTTGAGTCATCTCCTCAACATCCTAATTTTCACCCCTTGCTCATCCTAAATTTGAGTCATCTTATGTTGCTCCTCTATTTCTTTGATCTTACAGAGCGACGAAAGTAGGCCGAATTCCTTTTTATATGGCCATCATAGAATTCATCAGTTTGTGCTTCTACTTCAGAATCAGCAACTCCCAACAGCTTCTCATAGAAACGAATAGCAATTTGAGTCATCTCCTCAACATCCTAATTTTCACCCCTTGCTCATCCTAAATTTGAGTCATCTTATGTTGCTCCTCTATTTCTTTGATCTTACAGAGCGACGAAAGTAGGCCGAATTCGTGTCACCTATTTTGAGCCAATTTTCTCTCTGATTTTTACCTTTAAGACACATTCCTCATCATCCATCAATATCTTAAGCTTCTGCCCCAACCTCTTTTCACTCCCAAAGGTAGCAAATGAAGGATTAAATAAAGCTTGCTGTTGAACCAAGTACAATTCCATCTCCTTCTCCTTGAGCCTTAATTTATCCGATATCAGAATACTCCTCCCCGTTGAGTTTCCTCAATAGATTCTTCAAAATTTTGAGCTTCTTGCAAACCCTTATCAGATGATGACCAAAAACCCTACTACGCCAAGCCCCTCAAGAAGCTCATCAAATCGAGAATGGTGAATCCAAAACTTAAAGAACTTGAATGGTTTAGCTAGAGATTTCAGGGACGCTTCTGTATCCACTTATATTAGACAGTGATATGAGACAACAGGGATTGAAAATGAACATTACTATCTTTAACCTTGTCAACCAATCAAGATTGACTAAGACTTTATCCAGTCTCTTAGCAATAGGCCTAGCTAACTGCTTATTCATCCAAGTAAACCAGGGATAGTGGCTTGGTGCTCTTCCAATTCAAGATCAATAATCCATTTATGAAACTGATGCGTACTAGAATATGGCCTAGGGGAGTTAAAAGCTTATGAAGGGTGTCTGATATTATTAAAGTACCTAACACAGTCCAAGGGGCATGAATCACTCGATCGAATTCGTCTCAACTCAATATAAAGCAAATGTATAGAACTATCATCATTGAGGCATAGGCAACAGTAACAAAGAAAGGCTGAGTACCCCCTACTATAAACTGGATAAATTTATCCGAGGAATGAAGAACCGTGAGTTTGACATCCTTCTTCCAGAGTAACCAGATCTTCCCCAATCCGACTGAATTATGCTTAACTTTGACCTCCCAATCTGGAAACCGCTTCACAAGCAACTTGTTTGTCTCATAGATTCTTATTGTGGGCTCTAAACTAGCAACTATATCTATACTATACTTGTTTATTTTTCTATAGCGACCAAACATGAATTTTATTAGTAAACTTAGTGACCAAACTTGCAAGGGAGTAGGGCGATGCTCTGTCATGGGCAAGGGAGTCCATAGGTTCATCAAAGTAAGCCAAGAGGGCGTAGATGCCCGTATCAAGCTTCTCGGCAGATGTCTCGTCCTCTCTTTTTCGTCGAATTCCGGCTTAAGTTTCAACAAGGACTGGGTTCCCTCTTTCAAAAGGTGGGCTATCAGATTTTGGGCTATTGATGAGAACTTCGTGTTGGAAGACTGCAAGGATGGGAGGTGGCTTCTCATCTGCCCCAGCATTGCTGAAGCCCTGCGCATCAAAAATCTCAATTTCTTAAAGTTCAGAGAGTTCTTAATCTCCTGCTCGCTCTGGAAGGATGGTGAGATACCGGTCTGCGATGACGAATCCTGGATCGTTGCGCTTGATATTCCCCTCCATCTTAAAAGCGTGGATCTTTTTGTTGCAATCGGAAACTTCTGTGGGGCCTTTGTGGACTTGGACTGGGATTCTTGGTTTCTTCCATTCGTGAGGATCAGGATCAAGAAGACGAACGTCATCCCCGACGTTATCCCTCTTCGTTTTGACGGCCGGGAATTTCCAATTCGAATTATTTCGTCGGCGGCTACGCCCCTTGATCTTCCATGCAACACCATCATGAATGCGGGCATCAACCCCCATGCACGTGTTTCGGGATCCCTTTCCACTTACCTAGGTGATTACCAGAGTGTCGGCGCTATGCCAAGCCCTATCTCCTCCCCCAGTCTCCTAAGCCGGCCCAATAAGTCCCCGGCCCACCCCACTCGAATCTGGGTTCGCAAAGCCGGCCCCATTTGGCTCCCACCCCACCTCAGACCTAAACTGCCCCATTCCTCCCTCCTGATCGAGCTCACCCTCGACCTTTCCTCCCCAACCCATCTATCTTCAGTTAGAGACCTTACATCCTTCCCCTCTCTCATCCTCGATTTTTCGCCCTCCCCTAGTCGATCCTTACCCAGCCTTTGTCTTCACCTCAAGCCTGATCTCATCATCATATCTGATTTCTTCTTAGCCGATCGTGTTATTTTTTCCCCTGCTCTTGGTGCATTCCCCTCTCCTCTTCCCCTTTCAACCCCATCTCTGCCTTCCCCACCTTCCTCCCCCTCTGCTCCACCCATTTCCTTCTCGCCCCCTCCAACCCCCGACTCCCCTGAGCCATACCTTGAACTCTCTGGTGCTCCTACCCTTTTCGACGACCCGAACCCGTTGGCCCTGGTTCCTTACCAACCCATCAATGATGCTTACCTCAAGGATTGGCGAGCGGATTTGGATCTGCGCTCAATTATTGCTGCTGGCTTGAATCTCCGCCGGCTTTTAAAT